GCATCTTTCTTGTCTTTCAAAATGATGGATCTAATTTTTGTGGTTAAGAATTCTGGTTGGAGTCATGTCGTTTGCAACATGTCATCCAATTGTCCATGGAGTTTACTTAGCTTATAACATTGATTGTACTAAAAACAAAAAATTAAAAGAAAAAAATTACTAAACGTTAATGTGTTGTCGTTAGTCAATTCTAAACAATCACTTTTTTTTTTAAACAAAGTTAGTAGTGATATGTTGCATTAGCATCTAACGAAACATTTAATTCACTAAGTATTATGTTTACTTAGAATGTAAGAAATTATACACTTGTGTTGGTTCAAGTAGAAAGGATTTGAGTCTCACTTCAGCATGAAGTTGGATTCTCTCATTTCTCTTTTTAACCCCCACAAAACTCGTTAATTGAAGTGTACCGATATTTAGCCATAGTTATATTGTGGACCGCAGTGCATAATCGATTGTGCACTGCGCGTCAAAACGGCGTCGTTTCTACAGTTATAACTGAGTGACGCTACAGTGTGTTTAAACCGATATTGTCTCACGTATTATTTTTATATTATCAAATGAAACTGCAGTTATATCAAAATTATAGTGTAGTTGTGGTGAAATGAAACTACAGTATATATAAAATGAAACTGAATAACATTTCACATATTTGAGTGTATATTGTACAATGAAGTTGTAATTATATTGAAATGATCATGTAGTTGTATTTTAATGAAACTATAGTGTATATAAAATAAAATTAAATAACATTTTCACATATTTGAGTGTATAAATATTGAATGAAATTGTAGTTATATCGAAATGAAACAGTAGTTGTGTTGAACTGAAACTGCAGTGTATACAAAATGAAAATGAAGAACAGAGTTATTTTTTGCGAAGATTCCGTTTCTTTTTATTATTAAATAAAACGACGTCGTTTTGATGCGCGGTGCATAGTCCATTATACACCACGGTGGTCGATATAATTTGCCGATATTTAGATAAGGAGACAGGATCCGTCAAATTAAACCCACCATTTTGCAACAAAACTTTAGTTCCCCGATTATTGTAACGCGTGTACTCAGTTCTGGTCACTAATTTTTTATTTAACAATTTTTTATACCTAGATTTTTTACAATTGATCAAATCTAACCCAACATTTTCAAGTCTCCTAATCTTATCAATTTTCACTCTTCTTCGTACAACAACTATTTGAATATTTTAAATTACATTTTTTTTTTTGAAAAAATAAAAAGTAATAAACAATTACCAAAAGTAAAAACATTATTATAATTGATGGGCATGAAATTCATTCATTTTCAACTAAATTGTTGATATTCTTTCTGAAGGCCTTATTTTCACAATTTGTGAAATATGCATTAGGTAAACCTTGATCTTATGTAATAGTCTTACATAAAAGTAGGTATAGTTGTACTAAAAATTGAGATCATTTTAGTTTTGATGTGTTAACTATTTTGTTTTTTATTTTTAGTCTTTGAATTAAAATCAGTTAATTTTTATTTTCTAACTACTGAAAATGTGTCACTTTAATCCTCATAAAAAGTAATCCTATCCTATCCTATCCTATTCTATCCTATATATAATAAAGCTATATGGTCTTGTGAAAATTGAATGTTGCATTTAATTTTCACAAGACCATATGACTTTAAGATGTGAAAGTCTTGTGAAAATTAAATGGGCTTTAAGATGTGAAAATTACTTTAAGATGTGAAAATTAAATGCAACATTTAATTTTCACATTTTAAAGCCATATGGCTTTAAGAAACATGTATGCAACCCCAAAGTCCATAAGTTTGAAATTAATATATAGCATAGCTATGTGGCTTAATATTTAAGATTGTTGATGTGCATATTGAGGACTACGGAGACAAAGATGTGTTATTCGTGGATTCATCGGATACTATCCAACAACACTCTCCAACTTAATTGACGTGAAGTAGGCTTAGTAACATTAAGATTATATTCTCGAATTATTAGCTCTCATCTTTTATTGATTACACACTTAATTCGATAATATTTGGAAGAAAAATATCAATGTTCTAACTAAGATTGTGATTTTGGTCTTTAAAGGTCAATTGTATGTTGCTACATCTAGAGTTAGAAATCTCAAAGGTCTAAAAATTTTGATCCGTGGTGACTCTAAAATTGTAATTCAATTACTATTGTAGTTTACTAAGTTCTTAAAATTTTATAATATTAAATACTATGTACTAAATTTTTAAAATACTAGTTAGAAATAAATAGAGATATAATTTATTTTTCTTTTGATTTACTAGAAAGTTCATAGCCACTATGTAAATATATACTCAGAAGTCCAACTTTGAAGTTATTTGCATGTGTTTTTTTTTTTGGTATATCATGATTGCTGCTCCATTCCCAAAATCTAGGATCGAACCCTTAACCTTTGATTAAGAATGGATGAGTTACTTCAACTCAACCAAACTCTCCAGGTTTATTTGCATGTGATATTATTTGCCAAATTGTCACCACATGTCCAAAGTGCAGTGGAGGATACATCAATCATTTATATTCATGATTATAATCATATAAAGCTAACTTTACTTTTAAAGCTTTAAAAAAATAATATATGCACATAATATTTTGTAAAAAATAAAAAATAAAATAATGTGTGAATCACTATCTTGGCAATTAATAATTTAATACGGAATACAATCTTAATATTATTTGAATATATCAAGCTATTATCTAGAAAAAAAATTACTCAGTGCACATTCTAAGATAGTAAACGTAACAAAAATATACACTATGAATTGATGATGATTCTATACCTAGAGCATTTTTCCCATCCAACATGATTCACGACAAGCATTATAGTCCTAGGATGGGATCCTTTTGTCCCCCTATTATTGAGACTTATTGTCACGTTTGATATGCATCTATCATATATCTATCAAATCATTTGGGTAGATAAACGGATTTTTAGCATTATGGTGAAATTATTGATGAAATTTTTATTATTTTTTTTTACAAAAAGAAAAAAAAAACTATAATTATTATTTAAAAAGTGTATACTAGATGAACTTCATTTTGATTTAATTAATAGCCTATAAACTACATATGAAAGTTAACCACACTAGCTAAGAAGACTCTGCGTGATGTGTTCCACCAAAAGCTACATCAAGCATGAACTATGAGGCCCTAAAAATGTTTATTTATTAATTAAAATTGAAATGCATTTTATATTTTTTAATAAAATACATTATAATAATATTATTGTTATTATTAGTAAGGACCTCATACACTTCCCTCCCTATATAAATCAGCCACAACCTCATCATCTTCAACAAATAACACACACCTACTAATAACAACACTTTGTTTAAGAGTTCTCCCATCATCTACAATGGCAAGCATAGAGGAGCTCGCTCGCTTTGCCGTTGCTGAACAAAACAAGAAAGCGGTTTGTATTCTCATCCTCTTTTGTCATTTAATTTAACTTTTATTTTGTGAAAAGTATTGGGATTTTGGCGCAATAGTAAAAGTTTGATTTGGCATTTGGTATCAGAACATCATAATCTTGTGTTTCAGGGCACAACTAAACTGGCCAATAAACTCAAAATAAGTTCATAACATTTGCTTACACTTGTACATAGGCACATCCAGTAATTTACCACATCAACTAACCTTCACTAAGCCTTATATCAGCATTTATTGAGCCACATCCCGCAGTTTACTCCTCCACCAATCTGATCAGCTAATTTTTGTTACGTTATTTAAATTTGATCAGAATTCGAATTTGGTGTTTGATAAGGTGATATACGATATCACGGTGGTGGCGGCCGACCACGGCGGCCAGAAGAAGGTGTACGAGGCAAAGGTGGCGGTGAATGAATCGCAGAACACAAAGGAGCTTAAAGAATTCAAGCTTGTTGGCAATGAAGCCTCCAAGCCTGCAGCTGGGGGCATCTCAAGTGTCAGTCTCTAAATTAAACCAAATCCTTTCTAGCTAGTTTCTAGTCGAGTCTCGATCAGATTCCATTCGAGATAGCTTTTCTAAGAACAATAGTTTAATTATATGTGCATGGATTGCCTAAGTACTGTATGTATGCATGCTTGTACGTGGAGAATAAAGTCTGTGATTGCCTTCAAAGTTCATCTGAATTTGTTGGCATTTGTAAGGGGTGTGACATGTTGGATTGTTAATAATAAAACCTAGTCTTGTACTATGTTGTTTTTTCAGTGTGACGAGGACCATTTCTTAGGAGTATACACCGATAAACTTCGCTATTGTATATTTTTAAAATAATAATATCTAGAGTCAAAATAATAATAATAATAATAATAATAATAATAATAATAATAATAATAATAATAATAATAATAATAATATCTGATAAACTCTTAGGGATGACAATGTGTTCCGTCCCCGTTGGAGATTCCCGTCCCCGTATGGGATGGGGACGGAGACGGGAAAAAATTTCGGGGATCGAGGACGGGGACAGGGAATTTTTAAATTCTCCGCCGGGGACGGGGACGGGGACGGGGATACCCCTCCCCGCCCCGCCCCCGAAGATTATATATATATATATATATATATATATATATATATATATATATATATATATATATATTATAGTTAATTAGTTTTATTAAATTTTAAAATTAAAATTTAAAACATAGTTAGTACTATTCAAACCAATCAAACACTGTGTATATATTTGATGAATTGAAATTTGGAATATATTGAATATTGATTACAATGCATGCATGGTGAATATTGAATGTGTATATATTAGATTATTAGAATATATTGACTATAAATTTCAATTTTTTTGTTTTTTTTATTTTTAAAAATTGTATTACTTTCCCACATTGATTATGGATTGATCGGGGATGGGGATTCCCCGTCCCCGCCAAATTTCCCGCGGGGACAGGGACGGAGAATTTTTTCAATTCCCCGTAGGGGACGGAGACGGAGACGGGGTCGCGGGGACCGGGACGGGGAGTATACTCCCCGCCCCTGCCCCGCCCCGTTGCCATCCCTATAAACTCCTAATCAATTGTTATAAATTTTAAATATTTAAAAAAATGGTTTCGATTGATCTCCAAATTAAATGTTTAGTTGATATTATTTGTAGATTGCTTTCAATTTTATTCCCACGTGTACATATTAAAGATTAGAATGTGTCACAAAGAAACACACAAATTCATCACGATGATAAAGACTGGCCATGTTACGTCTATAAATGGTTCAAGCTAGACGACGAAAAAACAATAATAAATCTAATTAATACCAGACAAATTTATATCATGGAATAAGGTTAAAATTATAAATGCGTAATTTTATTTATTTATACTTATTACGCATTAGTTAGCATCACGTTTCACTTGACACTTCAAAGCGACGTTTAACATATTGAGATGAGAGAGAAACCAATATATTTTTCCTTCCCTTCTTCATTTTCATGTGAAGATATATAAGCATCATGTTTATAAAGGAATAACTAGTTAAAACCACCCACTGCACTTCACAGTATTCTTATAGTGGATGTAACTCCTAATAAACTAAGTAAAAAAGTCGTCATTTTAGAGGCAACTTAAGTTAAATTAGTCTGGTTGTTAACTTTCAAGTACAAATATGATTAACTTAGATTGATTTATTTTATTGTGATTTTTTATCTACTTAAAATCACAAAAGCTAAATTTATCCAATATACGCTCTCAAATAATAATGATAGATTTTTTATCACTTAAAAATAAAAATAAATGTATTTCTCAAAAAAAAAATGTCCTCATTCTATAATAAAAATAAAAATAATAATATTAATAATAATGACATTGCATCGAGGATGTATCAATGTGTGTAGTGTGTGAAAAAGAACAATAATAGTTGGCCCATTGTTGAAGTTTTCATTGATAGTACGATGGATGTCAAATCACCAATTTACGACCTTTGTCGCATGCTCTAATGCTATGATATGTATATTCTTTTAGTTTTAGTTACATCAACTTTCAATTTTTACTTCTTCACTTTTACTTCTTAATATGTCAAGAAATGATAAATTATATTTATCTCGTACATTTCACATCCTCCCACATGCTCTTCAGGTCGGAGTGTGGGAGACCCTTTAAGATTGGAGATTCAGCCTTGGAATAAAAAATGATAAATTATATTTATCTCGTACATTTCAAAGAATATTTCAACATTAAAATTTTGAATGAGTGATTAAAAGTAAGGAGTAGAGCTTCAATTCAGAATTCAAGTAATATTTTTCATTTTCTTTAATTACAACTCTTACAAATTAAAAACACTACATGAATTTTCATTTCTTATTCTAAACTTTTATCCCCTCTCAGTCTCTTATAAATCCTTGATGTAAACACTTTTCTTGAAATTCATATGATGAAAATATTATATCTTTGTTTGTCATATAATGAAATAAAAGTGGGGGAGTATAAGGTGGAAAGACATAGAGTAGAACTCCAACTCTTAGGATCAAACGCTTATCACTACAATAAAAGTGTGACCTGGTTCTGATATCGCTTGTTAGGATCAAACGCTTACCACTACATCAAAGTCATAACTAGTAGCGAAGGTGCATCATTATTTTCTTATATAGTCATACATTTTCGAGAGCCACTGTGCTGGACTTGGCCCTTTATTAACCTCCACCCAACAATATCGCTAGCCACATGGTGTTAGACATGCACCCTTACCGGCCTCCGCCAACAATTGGCTTATTTGATACTTTAAAATTTATGATTTAGCCAAATATCTTGTGGTTTGATAAGATCCTATCATTGTTATCATTCCAAACAGAAGGTCTCATATTCGAATCTATACTATGCATAGGTTAGATTGTAATACTAAAAAAAAAATAAAATTACGAGTTATTACAATTTTTTATTTCTCTTAATCTTACCTAAATAATATGCAATAGGTCGGGGTGTTTGGTAATTGGTGTTAGCTGATAACGGTTAACTGATTGGGTTAGTGGTTTAACTAGTTGATAGCATTAGCAGATTGTATAAAAGTGTTTGGTAAATTAGTTGTTAGCTATCCAAAATGACTTTCTCAAAAAGTTGATCGAAAAACTAGTTTGATTAGCTTTTTAAATTGCAACATTTTGAAGCAATAAGTTATTACACAAAGCTAATTAATCAAACATTCATATTGATTATTTAATCAAATCAAACAACTAATAATAATTAAATAAGTCAAAATTGACTAATACACTAACTATTTTTCCAGGCAAATAAGTAAAGCAAGTTAGCACTTCATGAGTTAATGTTGTGATAAATGTTCATTGACTTTTTGATGTTTTCACATGTCCATACTCTCCAATATTTAAGACGTATACTCCGTCCCCAAATTTATTGTGCACTTTAACTAAACATTTTTTTAGACAAAATTAAAAATTATTATTATTATTATTATTATTATTATTATTATTATTATTATTATTATTATTATTATTATTATTATTGTTATTATATAACTCAAGTTTCCTAGCTTTGAAAGTCAACCTTGGATACTTTTGTTGGGTTCAAACACACCCTACTGTTCGAAGAGAGTTTAATTTTAAGTATTGTTTCTCAACCACTTGATCAACCTACATAGGTTCATAAGATTATTCAGTATTCTCACTTAAGTATTCGTAGAGTAATTGCAGTACATTCCTTCAGTTCGCACATAGAAGACAGTTTAAACCTAAACACAAAGTTTTATTGTCACGTCAAGTAATGAATTTTTTTATTTTTGTTTTTGCATATAGTTCAATATCACTACTACTATGAAGGGTTCAGCTCATATCTCTTTAACATGCATAATGTACACAAACAAAAGCTGATCATCTAACAATATAATACAATTACATTAGCAGTTGGATTATCAACAATTACCAACTATAAATATATTATTTTTTTTTAAAAAAAAATCATTTTATTACCACTCTACATACACTCATTAACTTAATTTCAGAAGATTTTTCAAACTTGAATTAATCTTTAACCTAACCTTCTAGAATTATAGTTATAGGGGTAGATGCAACGAATCCTAAGAAACAAACCACTGCCTCATATATAAACAATTAATCCATTACCAAACAATTAAGGATATGATAACGACAACTAGTGCAAAAAATTTACACATGTTCCTTATTGGCGAAATGGTTGTTTTTTGTCGTGTGGAGGGATATTTCTCCCCTAGAATGAGTGGTTGAAGTGTTGCAATTAACATATATATAATCTGATCTTATCTTAAAAAAATTTGTTTGGGTGGTAAAAGTTTTGAGGTCGAAATTATTATGTATGACTTCTATTGTCATGAAAAAGTTGATTGTCGTGGGATTTAATAAATTCGAAGTAATTATCAAAAATGGATAGAAAAAATAAATAAATAAATAAGACGAAGTTAACACGGGGAAAGGATAAAAAAGAAGTGATTTTCTACGATAGATTTTTTGAGTATTACAGAAATTATGTGTTAAGACAAAGTGTGTCTGCGGATAATGGATTAGCTATTTATACAAGAAGTGTTTTAACAGCGTCTTGGGATAATGAACCGCGCACGCCCAGTCCTATTGTTTTATAAGCCCAGTAATGTACAAAAAATAAAACTTCAATCTATACCATACCGAATCAATAAATGAACTAATTAAGCAAGATTAGGGGTTACTTTTGAAAATTTTTGTACCGATAGCTACTCTTAATGGAATTAGGCAAGATTTGGTACGTGGCTAACTGCATTGGTGTGGCGTAACCACCATGTTTATAAATTGTTATGTTCCTTCACCATAATAATAATAATAATAATAATAATTATTATTATTATTATTATTATTATTATTATTATTATTATTATTATTATTGAGGAGCTTGCTCGTTTCGCTGTTACTAAACACAACAGGAAAGCGGTTTGTATTATCTCTTATTAGCTCAATCATATCGTTCTTTGTTTTACTTCTCATAAGTGTACTCTTCCTTATTTATGATTTATGACATTCTACGATATCATTGGTTTTCAATACCAATACCAATACAAATACTAATCATATCTTCTTTCGTTTTATGATCGGAAACTTTTTTTTTTTTTTGAAATACTCATGATTATTTACAATGAAGTATATGTTCTATACTTTCAACCATCTATTTGGAATGGTAACTGGGATGCCATCACACTACATATTAGTCATATCTTTCTTCGTTTTACTCCCAGAAACCGTACTCTTCCTTAATTATGACATTTTCTAAAATGTCATTGATTTTCAATACCAATACAAATACTAGACATATCGTTCTTCGTTTTACTTCCATAAACTGTACTCTTCCTTAATTATTTTAACATTATCCAAATAGCATTTTTCTTTGCATAGGGTGAAGGAATCTCTCTATAAATAAGCCCTCCATACATCCTATTTCTCCATTCCAAACCAAGAGTGCAATACAAACAACACACACAAACACATCTACTTGCCTAAACTTCAATTCGCTAAAGAGTTAGTCAAGTCCAACAATGGCTTTGGGAGCCCCTACCGAAGGCAAATGTTGGGAGAACAACCTCGAAATTGAGGAGCTTGCTCGCTTCGCTGTTACCGAACACAACAAGAAAGCGGTTTGTATTATCTCTTAACTCAATCATATCATTCTTCGTTTTACTTTCAGAAACTCTTTCTTAACTATGGCAAATTTTCAAAAACTCTTCCTTAACTAGTATGTTCCGTTATTGCATTTATACAAAATAGTAATTTTAGTCTCTTAATTGCTGATGTGAGCACTATTGACCCTCTAATTTTTCATAAGGTACTCATGCACTTTCGTTCCTTCTACCGGTGGTGATGGTTAAAACATAACCCACCATTGCCTTGGCATTGCAAGAATGGAGCCTGCAATAAGGGGCAAAATTGTAATTTACCACTCCAAACCATTGAAGCCTCCATTACCCCATAAAAAATTAAGGAAAATACTTGGTGGACTCCCATTTTATACTCTCAACTTGTACTCTCTCTTACATGTTTTTGACATAGACACTTTTCTGTGGACCCACATAATAAAAATAACAAATTCTGATTTGCCACCTCAAGGTAGAAATAAGAGAGCAGAATTTAAGAGTACATGTAGTAGAACTCAAAAATCAATATAGGGGCAAAAATTTAAGTATTTTCCCTTAAATATATACTTTTTTTTAAACCAAATATATACTTTGATTTATAGGAAAGCAACAATCGTTACCTCTCTCTAGATGAAATTGGTATTATAACCTTAACCGACAAAAGAATACAAGGAGGTAAAAATCAGGACCAATAGGAACTAGGGCACTTTCACATAGAATCAAACTTAGAAATTTGTGATTATCAAACCAAAAATCCGACCAAAGTTTTGATACTATTCAACCTAATTTAACTTTGCCTTGTGATTGCAGAACACGGAATTGGTGTTTGAGAAGGTGCTGAACGTGAAGACGCAGGTGGTGGCCGGAACCATCTACGACATAACACTGGCGGCGAGCTACGGCGGTGAGAAGAAAGTGTACGAGGCCAAGATTTGGGTGAAGCCATGGGAGAACTTCAAGGAGCTTCAAGAATTCAAGCTCGCTGCTGATGTTTCTGCAGAGGCCACAGTGAAAGATTCCAAGCCTGCTGGTGGCATCTCTAGTGTTAGTCTTTAAACTAAATTATTATTCTCCATTATAACATGGATTTGGATTATATTATAGTGTCTAAGTACTCTATCTGATGCTTGTAAAGAATAAAAATTGATGTTATATGACACCATAAAATATTACTCCTTAATAAAATCTTTCTATTATCTACCTTCTTAGTTTGAACCAGTCAGTTATGGACTATTTGGGTTGATTTATCTTGTTGTGGTCTTTTGTGAGTTAAAGGTCAACCTAGGTTGGTTTATCTTATTATGATCATTTGTCAGCTAGGGTCACAAGGTGAGTTTCACCTAAAGGGCATCTTCAAGTAGCAATCTACGCTGATTTACCTCTTTATGACATTTGTCAATGACAATACCTCTTTATGATCATTTGTCAATGACAATAAGGATCATAAGACAGGTTTCACTACTCAAATTGTATATTCAAATAACAATTGCAAATTTTCTTATAACTCAAAGGATTAATGTAAGATGAATTGTGAAATGAACATAAGTACATCTTTTTCAAAGGACCTAGATGGTCTAAAACAAGCTATTTTGATAATCTTGAGGTTGCTTTCATCATGTGTACCTAATATCTTGTGGGCTATCTAAAGTTGACATCAAGGAATTGAAGACTTTTAATTGAATATCTAAGCTTAATTCTGTGTGCTGTTCAAAACCAAAACTGTGCATTGCACCATAAGGTCAAACTTCTTGGTCTTGTCGGATCAATTATTTTTTGATAGGCTCCAAACAATACGTGGACCCTTTGGTATGGGTTTAGATACCAAATTGAACAATGTTTTTCATCTCAACAAGTCTAAGATGATAATTGAATTGTACATTTATATTTATATATTATATACTTAACACTCACATACTCTTGTAAAAGTAATCTTTTTAATTTGAACTGATTCTCTTTGTAATTCAGCTCAAGTAACAATGCAAAATTCAACCACACCTTTTGAGTAGGTGCTACGAACTTTTCCTTAAATCAAAAGATTTATAAAACATATGCAGAGCATATATAGGAGACAGAAATTGGCAATAATAAAGAAAATTATAAAACATTGGAGCATACTGCTGAGGATGCTTTGTAGTTGAATTAATTTGTTAGAGAACAAAATAGTTTCATAAATACAGACCTATGTGGACTAACACAGTAACATCTAACATTGTCCTAATTGAATCTAGAGTTCCTCCTAAGTTGTTTTCTGGTCTAGAGTCCCTCCTATGTTCTTTCTACTTGTTCTCTGATTCCTATAATCCTTCTTCATGTGCCATTGTTCAACCTAGTTGTCTGCCATGTCAGGATGTCAGTAACAGCGGCCGAGTTAAATTCAGTTAGCCTTCTTCATCGTAGTCTTCCTCTACCTCATCTGTCGTCGTTCTATTCAGATTCGCGAGTTGAATGGGATCAATGGCCATTCCTTCCACGTCTGACCATCCAGGATACTCCTCCTCGTGTTTCGTTTCAACAGAAGGTACGGTGGGTGATGGAGAAGGCGCTTCGGCTGGTACTGCCGAGGAATCCCCAGTCTCATCGTTTAAGTCCACGTTAAGATCAAAGTTTCTCACTGTTGCTTCTAAGCTCTGACCGGCTAAAGAAATCTTTGAATCTGCAGTTTCTGACCCGGAATCCAGCCTTTCCGAATTCCTCTTCTTCTGTTTCTCGTCTCTCTGATCTGCTGCATCTTCAAATTTTTCGTATAAAGTAGTCTGCTCTCTATCTACTGCCCGACCCCTACCACGACCTCTACCTCTACCCCTACCTCTGCCTCGCCCGCTGCTACTTGATGGCGTTGTCTCGTGCTGCAACTATGAAAGCAATCAGAATTGTACCCAAGAATTTTCAAGTGTGATATTTAAAGCACAATAGCATCAGTTTGCTTACCATATCGCTCCGTTTGATGTCATCATCACTGTAATGATCATCAGCTTCAGCAATCTTCCTGCATAAACATGAACTTAGCGATTAACTAAACTCTGTCAGAAGTCACAAGTTCTATCAACCAAGAACAAGTAGGAATCTCGAGCAACCTTCTTTTAGCAGCAGATCTATCATCACCATCTGAAACGCCTAAATCGGGAACCCTGCTGACTACATCCTTGAGGAAATCGAATACGTTACAGGTTTGTACACATTGTTTCCTGAAGTGTTTAGTATTAAGTTAGACGATTGCAGAAGTCTTTAAAATGATTTGATAAACAGAAAGACATAATAGCTGCAACCCATTGTGAAAAGGAAACCATAAAATATGGAGATACTTACAAATGGTATGAATTCAATGTTTTTGCTCCCCTCTTAAGTGTAATGTCATATGTCCGATCACAAAGATCTTGCAAAAATAGTTCCAACGCTTTAGCTGAAAAAACAAAAAATGTTATGACAAACCCATACAGCTAAACAAATGTAGGATAAAAGTGATATACGAAGGAAAAACAGAACATGAATCAATTACGTTAGGGTACGTAATACATACACACTAGAAGAGGTACAGCATTAGCAATCTTCCCAATATCTTCATCAGTTTGCATAATCTTCTTAATCCGAGCCTACAAGATAGATCACACCCAGTAAGGTCACAGGACTAAGAAACTTCTATAACCCAATCTTACCAGGGTACCATAAGTTTAAACAATAAGATATATTCACATACATGATCACATACACCCTTTTATGTTTTAAAGCAAGACAATGGCATAAGCGTCATATATCAATTAGTACTCCAATTTTACAATGACTCGGGCTCTTTATACAACAAGGACACTTCAATGGCAATAGACTGAACCACCTAAGCAAACAATCCCAACTTCCAAAACCTCTGCTCTAGGCCACAATGTTGTCATTTAAAATCTGTGCATCATTCCGTTTCAATTTTGACTTCTTTCAAATGAGCTAAATGCAGACTAATTGAGAATCTAAGTAGTCATTAATTTCGCCAGTTATTGAACTTTCAGCAGACGTTCCAGTGAAGTGTCAAGTAGATACCAATTGAAATACACATCTACAAGCTATTTCATTTCTTCAAAAATGAATGAAAACTCATAATATGGTGTAAGTTAATTCCACAAAGTAAACATGAGGCACATATTCATAGAAAAATCACCAGATACTCGTAATACAGTGAAAGTTCAATCCACACAGTAAATACATGGTTCAAAATATATTAAGTCTTTGTGTACTCATTTTCCATATTTGACATTAAAGTCTGAACCATGATAGGCAATACTTTCTTTAACAGTTACATATACAAAATTCAAAACCTTCTTCTTTCCTTTGTAGTAGAAAGGCCATTTCTTTCTCCTTATGTAACTTATGGCTTTCTTCCTCCTTTTCACTTTTTGGACTAATCACTACCATCTTGCTACTCCACTATGACAATAGCTTCTAGAATTCCAATAATTCTAGCTCTCAAATAGATGGAAAGTTCAAGCTACAAGGCATGATTATAACAAATTTTAACAACTTGCAACAAGCTATCCTGCTGATTTAGAAGCAATACAATAACAAGGAAGATTTACAATATTCAAGATATATTTTATATTTTAATTTTTTTAAATTATACATCATACAAAAAACATAGCAAACATTCAGCATCTCAATGCATAAGAAGCTGACCAGAGTAGTAACTGTTGCCAGGGTTAAAGAGGTAAGAGAACAGAAATTATCAATTCAATCAATACTCTCTGATTAAATTGTTCTCTTTTTGGATATAGAAGCCAATCATTCTAGTCATAGTCAATGTCTTGGGAAGCATGCTCCAGAAGGAAAGTGAGAGAGAAAAAAAAAATGTTTTTTTTTTTGTGTTTTTACAACTAAAATGGCCAAACGGGACATGTGCTTTACTGTGCCTCTAATGAAATCCCTCTCTTGAGCCCTGCCCACATCATTGGCACCTCTGTCGCTTTCTTTCCCTCAACTATCACCACCTCTTGCAGTGCTTATGGCCATCTCCTATATTCCAATCTCCCTTGTTGCCCACAAAGGCAAAATACTCTTGCCCCTAACCCATGGCCCCCACACCCTGACCCGACAAGATAGTAGAAGGGTCAATTACGGTGACTTAACGGCTCATTAGGTGGGAGGACCAGTATTGGTGCCCACAAGGAGCCCACCACGGTGCCAGAGCTCGATCCTATCCAATCTCCCCTGTTACCAACAGCCATTGCTGTCACCAAAACCTACCACAAATTTAGCAATTCCAATCACCCTTTAACCAATTTTCACCTCTCATTCTATTCCTCACCTCAAAATCTCAAACCTCATAATTCAGGATAACTTCAGTGAAACAAACCATGTCATTATACTAATAAAGTCCTACGGAGGGCTCATAAAACACTAGCTAAATTCCCTTCCACTCTAATCACACATTCATTCTTCTTGAAAACTGAAGAACTACTCTACTCCTTTTGCCCCACATAACATGAAAAGTCAACACAAACCTCTGCTCAAATTCACAAAACCCCAGAAAAAATACAAAACACAAATAGCAAAATCCATACATACAAACCACAAATCATACAAATACACACGTGCATATAGACAGACAGAGAGATTGAAAAATTCGTGTATAATGAGACAGTTTAGGATGTAGGAAAACTTACCGCCGGAAAGCGAGTATCAAGCTTCTTCTTCATAGCGTCAACGTAGCCTATCGATCACTCAAACCCTAGATTTCCCAAGCTCGCATATGCATACAACCATGTGTATATATATAGAGAGAGAGAAAGAGAGAAATATATATGGATACTTTAAATCTCTCCCGGAAAAAATTCGACTTCTCCTGATAGTTTCGAACTTTCTGTGATAAAAATTAAAAAAATATAAATAAATAAATCAATGAAAACTTTTATAAAGTTAAAGAAAAATATTTTTAATTATTAAAAATTGCGTTTTATTGGCTTATATGGGAGCATCAAACAAAATTCCCCCGCCAAGGATTCTCCGTCTATTATCTGGTGTGGCTCAACAAGAACAATAAAGCGGAGTGACCAATAGGGTGTTGCCACGTGGGGGTTAAAAAATTGTTGTTGTTTGCTTGCCAATGAATCTCCGCCACGGCGACAGAGCACGGAGCTGTCGTTACGTCAGAGCTGCGTCGTGCTTATGTCCTTGATTGGTCAAATAGCGTGGTTGACCAGTCAGGGTTTATGCTTATCCCAAAGTCACGGGGTCCCACCGGTCTAGAATCTTTTGGAGGGAGGGATCACTATTGACTTAGGAAAGATGTTACATGTACTCTCAATTTGTATTATTATTGATGAAGATATTTATATTGGGATTCACATAAAAATAATAATTTATCAAAATTTGTTATGTCATAGAGTAAAATTTAAAGAGTACATATAGTATAACTCTTGACTTAGAGCTCTCCAGCACATTTAACAACAAAACACCACAAATCTCTACCAAATGTCACATCAAAAAGAATATTATATGCACTAAATTTAATTCATCTCCAATCCATTACATTAAAATACCAAAATCTCCACTAAATGTCACATCAAATGTTATTCTGAGCTAAAATAATATGATTTCTCTAATTTTAAAATTTCAGTAGTTTTAATTAATTAGTTTAATACTCCCTTCATCCCATTTGATGTGTCTGATTCGATTAATGATGCTTAACTGAAATTATTTTTAATCCACTTTTTCATAATATTAAGTTTAATATTAGTGTACAAAATTTATATATTTAGAAACTACACTAAAGGTACTATTAAACACAAAAATCAGGTTTAAAAATAAGTAAAAAAAATACTAAAGAAAATAAACAAATAAGAAATAGTTGGTTTGACCAATGAATAGTAAGTATGACAGAATAAAATGGGATAGAGAGAGTATAAAATATAATTTGTAATGTAAATAATAAATTTTTAGTAATATCATTTTTATGTTGTTGTTATGTTTCACTTATTTTAATTTTTAGTTAACAATAGTAGTCTTGTTTTAATGGTCTTGATATGATCTTTCAAATGATATAATTTATTTATAATAATATAACATTTATGTTTAAGTATTTAACAAAATATATAAATACAGAAAAATTAAATCAAGGAAAAAACATGAATTAAACAGTTTTTTTAAAAATGACGTGGATGAACAGTGCCCACCATATATGACGCGGCATTGTTCATCAACGATAAATTTTTTGGCGTTTTGCTGCCCAATTGGAGCCCATTATTTGCCGTTTACGCCAAATTATTTGGTGATATGGCGTCTCCTTGGAGATGGCCTTAGTGAAATTGAAAATGCTAAAGATGAATATACGCGTGCGCGACAGGTTTAACTAAAAAGTGTTGTCAATAATTGAACTTTGTGGTATTATGATATAAGAGCATCCTCAATAATATTGTTTTTTTTTTTTTTGCGCTTTTTAAGGTGTCAATTATAAAAGATTGGATGGAGAGATAAGAAGGAAAAATAGAAAAAGAAATTAAAAAGCATGTTTGACAAGAAAACTGAGCATCCGACACGACAGCGGGCCTGTGCACTGCACGCGCCCGGTTGGGCGCGATTCAATCGTTATGCCATGGAACCGTGTTCACCATTCATGGTGAACACGGTTCCAACAGTGTTAGTACACCGTTATCTTTTTTTCTTTTCTTAATTAATTGCGTGACTTTTCTTCTCCATTTTCACATTTCGCGGTTTCACTTTAATTTGAGGTGAGCAATGATTTTGGACATTCATAAATTATGAATTCATGCCTGCACATTCACTTTGGAACCATGCATACACATTCCCGTCCGAAATCACGGACATTCATAAATTATGAATCCATGCCTACACATTCACTTTGGAACCATGCGATTATGAATTTTCTGTTATAAGATTATGAATTTTCAGTTATGAGATTATGAATTTTCTGTTATGAAATTATGAATTTTCTGTTATGAAATTATAAATTTTCTGTTATGAGATTATGAATCTACATTACATTCATAATCTCATAACAGAAAATTCATAATCTCATAACAGAAAATTCATAATTTAATAAATATTTTGATTATGAATTTTCTGTTATGAAATTATGAATTTTCATTACATTCATAATCTCATAACAGAAAATTCATAATTTGATCAAACGCGCACCGTTAACTCAACATCCGCGATTTTTTTTATTTTTATTTTTTTGCATAAAAACGACGTCGTTTGGACTTGTGTTCACCATTCACGGTGAACACGTTTCCAAGGCATAATTTGCGGGTGCGATTTGTGCAGGCCACGCAAGCAGATACGCATCGGGCCCAAAAAAAAAATCATTCTTATAGAAAGACTCTAACTCTTCTCTTTCTCCTTTACATAATCATGTTCTCATCAAAAAAAAAAAAAAAGTGAAAAAACACAGATATGGATACTCTAAGAATTATGTTTCACCAACTCAATAACATTTTTCGGAGTTCTAAAATCACTTAATTAGAGATAGCAACATGATCTAGAAGACTATGCTTAAATGAATTATTTTGAGTTTAAATTTATATGAATCGGTCGTTATGGACTCAACTCAATGTGTTCGCAAGTCGATCGATGCACAATTCAAGTGTTAATTTATGTAGTCATGTCAAAATATCAAAATATTCTTAATATAATATGAGTTGTGAGTCAGTCCAAGTTCATACTTTTTTTTTTTAAAGCTTGAAACCTAAAATTACAATATATGAAATTGTTTCCACATTATATATATATATATATATATATATATATATATATATATATATATATTATACCCCTCACAAATATACAATTATCAATGTCATCTATGAATTATTAGTGGTGTGAATGTTGTCCCTCAATTTTTAAAACGTGACATATATTGTCTCTCTCATGAATTATTAGTTGTTGAAATGTGGTTACCTGTCGTTTTTCATGTTCGAAAACTACGTATTTTTTCATCCATTTTTCTTTATTTGTTTATTCTCCTTCCGACGACGACAATAATGTTTCTCCTTCTTCATATTAGAGGATGGGCAATATATGTTACGTTTTGAGAATTAAAGGGCAATATTTACACTATTAATAATTCAGGATGACATGCATATATTACCATTTTTCCTTAAAAGAAAATTGATCACAAGACCCCGTGTCTCTCACCAAAAAATTATTAAGATTTTTGTATAGTAGTTTAAACATAGGAAAAATTACACTATATAAATTTTGTTCATGTATAATAGGCTACAAACCAAACTATTCAACTAAATATCACATAAGTGTAATATAACTTGATTGAAATATAAAAATACTACTCCTTTTGTACAGTACAAGAAAAATCATGAATCGTGGTGGTTTTTGTGATGGAACATTGCGACAAAAATGGTGACAAAATTAAATTCCATAGCTATTTTTGGCACAATGTGAGAAAAAATTTGTGAAATCTTGGCGGCCCACATTTTGGTGACGGAATTAAGCTATGTCGCCATAATGGCAACGAAAAAAAGCAATTACTGATATTTCCATGCATCGTGGGTTTGCGATGGAATCAACAACAAGAATGAATTTCGTTGCAATGTTTTGGCGCAAAGTGGGAAATACTCTCGCATACTCTTTTGTGTCAATGCATTGACGACGGACAGTGACAACAGAAAGTATGACTGTCGTTTTTCCGTAGCGAAAATATTTAATTTTTTAAGTAAAATTTATTTTCGCTACAAAATGAGACGACAGAATCAATTCCGTCGCTAATATTTTGACACATTGGCGACATAAAATGCGATGCCCTACATGTATGTCGCGCTATGGCGATAGAATCGGCAAGAAAAAATAATTTTGTTGCAACGTTTGGTGATAGAACTTCTGGTTCTATTACCAATAATAAAAAATGAGATTTTTGAGTGGTTAATAACGTCATTTAAACATATTTGTTTACATATGACAAAAAACGGCCATGTCACATTAATGCTATGACAAACGGGGATGTCTTGAAAAAAAAAAAAAAAGAAGACTAAAAGTAAAATGACTCATATAAATCTAATATTTAAAAAGTAAAATGACTTAATACTTATAATTGAATATACCAAAATGACATTGTATTTAACGTCATTTAAACGATTTTGTTGACAGATGACAAATAATGATCATCCTACAATAATATTATGACTAAAGGGAATATTTTGAAAGAAAAAAAAAAAGTCATTTCACACTTCAGTATAATACGAGTTCATTTTTAGTATATTATAAGTTTATTTTTAAAATGACACGTGTTAATTTAATAATTTGTACTCCCTGCATCAATTTTTATGTGTTTAATTCAGACAACGAATCTTAAATGAAGTTATGTTTAATTCACTTTTTAATAATATTAAGTTTTGTATTAGTATGTTTTCAAAAAGTTTTCTATTAGTGTGTGTGTGTGTGTATATATATATATATATATATATATATATATATATATATATATATATATATAACACTTAAAAGTACTATTAAATAATAATAAAAACAAATTTAAAAATAATTAAAAATATCATAGAAAACATACAAAAAAATAAGAATTGATTGACCAGTAAATAATAAATTAAACAAGACATGTAAAATGAGACGAAAGAATATAAATTAACTACATTTGTTGTAGTTTCGTTATATTCGTTTTTTTTTTTCTAACGAGAGAAATTCGCAGTCACTTTTTGAATAAACTTTATTACGGTGTAAGTTCGCCAATCACATTAGAAGATAATGTAAATTGCACTAGAAAATTTTATACAATTGGCTCGATCGAAATAATATTGACAAAAATCAAATTCATGATTTTTTAAGTACAAAAATTATACTTTACTTACTTGATCACCAATTATATTTTATGGCTAGTTATATTCTTTTTCAGTATATTGTAGATTAGTATTTTTTTAAGTCGGTACATTATAATTTGTCACTCACTATTCACTCCTATATATTTCCAACTGTCTCCTACGGGTTCACATTTTACACCAGCAGTGTTCTATTTGGTCGGTTTGCTCTCCTTCTCTCGTCCGTTACAGGTACCTCCTCTCTAGCTTCCTCATCTATCTCTTCGATCGGTCTCTCTCTACAGGTTGATCGGTGATTTCCATGTATATGTATCTCTGTGTGTTTGTGTGTGCATGCTTGTTTGTCTGTGATGCTACGGTTTGGCAGAGAAATCTGGCTCTTGTGTTTAGTGTTTACGAATGGGTGAATCGGATGATGAATTGATCTCCGAGCTGTTACTTGATGCCTAGGGCTATCTGATACGCGACCTGATTGATTTTTATTTTTATTTGGTAACATTCGTCGGCGTTGTGTATGTATGATTGAATTGACGGTGCAGGGACGGTGCAGGGAAATGTGAGATGTTTCCAGGCGGGCTTTGTGTTTTATACAGATTTATGAATGTGAATGAAACTTTTTTGGATTGTGATGTGTGGTAAAAAGGTGTTTATGTGTGATGTAACTAGGAATGGGAGCTGCATTGGCAGAAAATTGCTGCTGCTATTTGAGCAAGACTTGTGGAATGTTTCACCATAAATGTTTTTTCCAATGGTTTGTTCTGATATAATTTTATGTGTTGAAATGTGTGGGAAAGAGATTGTGAGTGAATTTCATAATGTGTTTAAGCAGGACGTTGTTGAACGCACAGTTATATTGTGATAAAGGAATCTGGTATGTTAATGTTTACACACTTTGCTGTTTTTGATTTGTTAATTTAGTGTTAAAAATCTAGTGTTCTAGTTGGTTGGCTGGGTTGTGCATGGGATAGAGTCATAGAGATAAGTAAGTGGGGAAGAAAGTATTGTTTGTATAGGAATCTTGTCTCAACGAATCTGGCGTTTTGGTTTTAAATGCTACCTGTCGGTTTTTAAAACCATTCGAATATTCGAGTATTTTTTTTTAATTTATCTCCACATATTGTTTTTTGTTTTCTATGACTTCCATTTAGCAAGCTACTTATTGTTTTTAAAACCGTTCCATTTTAGGAATCTCATGTTTTATCTCCACGTGTTGCTTGTCATTTTCTATAAATTCAATTTATTGCTGATGTATATTTTGATGAATCTCATGTTTTATCGTCACGTGTTTCTTGTCCTTTTCAATGAATTCAATTTAGCATGCTATTCTTTGTTTTAAAAATCATTTGATTATAGGAATCTTATGTTTTATCTCCATGCTGCTTGTCATTTTCATCGAATTCAATTTATTGTTGACGTATAAATAACAAAAAAATAAATAAATCCATTTCCCTAAATTTAGAATGCAGTATTTGGTTATATTGTACAGAAAGATTAACAAATGAAATCCAATATGCATTCTACTCCTATTGGACAAGTAGAGCTTGATATATTTCCATAAAATTTCCAAAAAGTGATTGTGTAAATGTCATTGTATAATCTCAACCTGGTTTGGCATGCATTGGAATGACACTCCAATGTAGACATTGTTCTGAGTATAAACTGGTCCTCTTGTCTTGAACTCTACCTGCAATTGATTTGGGTGCTTTCAAGTTTCAAGCCTTGGCAGATTTTTCTGCCTAGTCGTACTTTCTTAACATTTTGATGGACTTTTATCTAAAAGTAAATAATATTAATTATTAGCATTCATGTATTACCATTTATTCCTCTGTTTGGTTTGCTAAATGTTTTGCCTTGTTTCTGTTTGACATTAACCGACAATCTTATTGTGATTGTGAATTAAGATTTTTCTGGAATTAGACACTTAGAATGACAAATTACTAACTGGGTAGCCTCATTAGGACCAGTAATATGGTGCTTAACTTGATTTTATGTACAAATCACCTCTCTGAATTACAAGTTGAAAGGTACAAGAAATTCCTATTGTACAAAGCAGGTTTGTTTTTGCTTGAGAGAGTTTCTTACAAGTACCGGTTTGGGTTCATTGGGCACAATAGTTGAAATAAATTAACTTGGATATTTATGCAAGTGTTGGGTGTTTGATATTTACTATGATACTGTCATACTGCTATCCTTCTTTCCTATGTAGTTGGGGAGTGCCTGCAAATACATTTCTACTTTATTTACCAACACCTTGATATGCAAATTACATTGTTTTCTGTCAGTGATATTCCATTGACTTTTCAGAGATATACATGCTCATTTTAAAGAAAGGAAACATTTTACTTAAGTCATTATTTGATTTGTATTCCACGGTGTGATGCTTTTCTTTAATCTTACATTTGATAGATATTGCCTGCTTTTAATTTCTTTCTCCAACTAAACTCACATGCTCCTGTCCTTGCTGTAGGTTTTGAATTAAAAATTTGTGGTGATGTCTTCATCCTCCAAATCCAAGTCCAAAGACAAAAAGATTGCTAAGGGAACACCCAAGGCCTCTTCAAAGTCTTCGAACCATGCCAATACCGGTGGTGGGATCTCCACTAGTGGATACAATCCTCTCTCTAGAACATTCCACAAAGTGGATGTGGCTGCTGTATCTTCTGGTGCTCCTCTTCATGCCAGTGCTCATTTTAGAAACATAGATGAGATAGATGACCGCAGTGGCTACTCATTTGGAACTGTTTCTGAGCATGATTCTGTTTCTAACAATGGTAGCTGGTCTGGTGAGTTGGAGGACCGTAAAGAAACTACATCTCTGCTGCCTCCTAGTCAGGGCACAATACCCAGTGCTGATAATGACAAGCATGAAAAAATCCGTCAGAAGAATGAGAAGAAACATCAACGCCAAAAAGAGAGGCGCGCACAAGAGTTGCACGAGAAGTGTTGCAGCTATCTGATGTCAAGAAAGTTGGAAGGTCTTGCTCAACAACTGGTGGCAATGGGATTCCCTCTAGACCGAGCTACAATGGCTCTTATTTTGAATGAAGGAAGAGTTGAAGAATCAGTGACATGGTTGTTTACAGAAGGTGAAGTACCATACAAGTACAAGGAGCATAATCTCAATGGTGGGGGTAATTTGAAAATTGATATATCGGATGAGCTTGCTCATATTGTTGATTTGGAAATTAGATTTCAATGCTCCAAGCAGGAAGTTGAAAGAGTTTTGGTTGCCTGTGAGGGCGATTTTGTTAAGGCTGAAGAAACTTTAAGGTCACAGAAGCAGAAGCCCGCTATGCCACCCACGCAAGAAGAAACTGGCAATCCTCCAACCGTGGGCAGTAGTAAGCTTCCACTAGCTGCTATCCAGAACTTTATTGTAGCACCAACAAAAGTCACTTCATCCACTAATCCAACACAGAAGAGGGATGAGAAAGCGTCAAATTATTCAAAAGTTACAACTGTAGCGAGTTCATCTATAGATCCTGGAAACAAAATTGCACAGTCATTGAAGAAGAGAGCTCAACCAAAAAAGGACCTGACAAAGCCGCCAGTAGTAGGTGTGCCTGCTGACAAAAGGTTGCCAGGTGCAGAATCAAATCCTCCTGCCACCTATTCTTTAACATCACCTCAACCTGTAAAGGTAGAAGCTCAGTACGAAGCAGTTGGGAATGCACTGAAGAATCTGCAGCTAGGAAGCTTAAGAGAACATGTTGTACCGATGCAACTACCCCAACCCATCAGTGCAAAGAAGATTCCCACCCCAAGTGTGAGTTCATCATCTTCATGTCCACCTGGGACTTCTGCTGGTTGGTTTCCAAATACCGCAGCACCTCTGGACCCTAGTGGTTTAATGCCACATGTTATTGGACCAAGGAACCTGAACCCCAATAGTGTCGGTAAAAGCGAATTGTACAGCCAACTTCATTATCAACAGCAGCAACCGCAGCAATGTGTGTCAAACAGTGCCTTTCCTGAACCCCTTGGAACAAGCTGGGGCAACAATTTGTGGAATATAACTACTCCTCAGTCTCATTCACTAGCCGCTGCTCCCCCCTCGGGACTCTATTCTGCGTTCAGTGCCAATGCTCAATCAAGTTCATTACCTTCTGTGGACTGGAAGCCTTATTACTCAGTGCCACAGATTAATTACAACAAGATTGATTGGAGATTGGATCTCCCTACACCATCTGATGGGATATGGTCCACAATGAACTTTCTCATGCAAAGCAACAACCCTCGGACCTATGACTCGTTTGGTGGTAGGGCTGCTGCTGTGGGACCTGTTGTGTCAAATCGCAATGGTGTTTCAATGCTAAGGTCCCAGGATAGAGGAGCAGGCACACACACCCCGGCTATTGTATTGCATGAGTGGGCTTCACCATTCGAAGAAAGAGATCTTTTTGGTTTACAGTTACTCCGACAGTTTGTTTCTTCTCCTTCGCTTTAGGGTAGAATGACTTAGAGAAGGGAATAAATGGTGAGAAAAATACCCATAATTGTATGTAGTGTAGGTTTCATGGAATGACTTAGAGAAGGGAATAAATGGTGAAAAAAATACCCATAATTGTATGTAGTGTAGGTTTCATGGAATGACTTAGAGAAGGGAATAAATGGTGAAACAAATACCCATAATTGTATGTAGTGTAGGTTTCATGTTGTGACCCTTGTTGATTGTTGTACTGTTGTAGTGGTAAAAGCATCAAGTCCTTTTCATTTGCAAAGGAGAGAGAGAGGTTGAGTACTGTTCTTTTTTTTTTTTTTTTTCTTTGGGATTAATTTCTGGATTTTTCTTTCAAAGAAAAAAACAGAAAGATGCACGGTGACTGCACAGCAGATGCACAGTGGGCACATGCAGTAGTCCACTGGGTCACCTAATTAAAAATATTAATAATTTTTTTAGGAACAGGCTTATATTAAATTAAGTCGAAAGACAATGCTTTACAAATGATATATGGAAGGTTTGTAAATCACTCTATGCAATCAGACAAAAAGAAAAACAGACTCCTAAGTTCGTGTTTGTGGCCTCATTTGGTAAAATATAAAAACACGTGAGTAAATTCACACAAGTTTTTGATATTTTTAAGGAAAAAGTGTTAAATTGACCCTCTTAAGTTATTCGGATAATGTAATTAGGTCCCCTAAATAAAAAAGCTCAAATCAATTCGTCTAAACCTCTAAAATTGTTTAATTGAGTCCAAATTAAATCAACCTGTATAGCAGGTTAATTCATTCTAAGCTTACATGTGTCACTTTTAATTTTTTTTTTTTTTTATTCTTTACAAATTATTTATATATTTATTATTTTTTTAAAAAAAGGAGTTTTAGCCACCTGTCCAGACCTGAATGCTTGGCTTGGGCCCCGAGCCCATGTAATTAGCCCTTAAAGATGAGCATCAACAATATTAATAAATGAGCCTGATAACCGTTGGCCCGTTAGATATTCCTCTACACTTCTCTCTAGTTTTGACGATTATTGAATGCATGGGGGACACTTATCACACATGCCGACACTTGTATAATTCATATTTTCAATTTAAAATTATATTTGCTTGAATATCTTAAGACTTTCAGAGAAAAATATGTGACAAATTTTAATTATTTTTCAGAAGAATAAATGTAACAAAAAAAATAATACGGACTACGGAGTAATATTTTTGGTTTCGCCCATTGGAATATAGTATATACCCATCTAGGGTTTTTGGTAGAAGGCATATATAAATATAAAAATCTCTTCTTTCTCCCAATCCTCCCCCAATTCGCGTTCTAAGGTTTACACTCGCAGTCTCCCACTCTCTCTCTCACTCGGAGGCTTCGGAGTTCTCAGAAAATGGCCGTAACCTTCTCAGATCTCCACACCGAGGCTGGCATCAAGTCTCTCGATGCGTTTCTCTCTGGAAAATGCTATATTTCTGGGTAATTATAATTCTTTTTAGTTGATATCTAAAATTTTAAGCTTTTCGAAGTTCTTCATTCTGATTTCGACTTGTTAACTATGATTTGTAGAGATCAATTGACTAAGGATGATGTCAAGGTATATGCTGCTGTTTTGGAGCAGCCGAGCGCAGATCTCTTCCCGAATGCCAGCAAATGGTACCATGCTGTGTCCACCAAGCTCGCCGCAAGGTATCTTAGTTTATTTTTATTGTTTTTATCACTGATTTTGTGTGTATTTAGTTTTTAGGGTAGTAATGGATTGATTTTATTAATTTGTTTTTGAACTTAAAAGTTAATTGCCTGTTTGAAATTTTAATTATATGTATTGTGGTGTTGTAGCTTCCCTGGGAAAGCTGTTGGAGTTAGAATCGGATGCCAAGATGCTCCAGCTGAAGCTGCACCAGCTAAGGTTGTTCCTAATTGCATATTCTTCTATTTGCTAATTTATGTAATAATAAATGTGTTGTTTTTGTGTATCTAGTGTTTCTTTAAACTTTTTTGAAATTGTGTTGAAATTAATTGTCATCTTATCTCATATAAATATTGTAAAAATGGGCAAGTTTGTATATAGTGTTATGGTTAATTGTCTGGTTCTTAGTAGAGGTTATAGTTTGATCATATAGTTGATGTAGAATTGTTTAATGAAGATATTCTTTTGTTTTATTTAGAGGCTGGGGTTTATTGAAATGTGATGGGACTTAGATTTCGTAGCTCATCTATACTGGATTTGTGTTGGATGGTTTATAGGTTTATGTTGTGGGGTGAGGATGATTTTGAGAGAATGCTTCTAGATGTGTTTGTGATAGAATGTTGTCAGGTTAAGTTATGTGCGAGACGTTTTTTGGTTAGGTTGTTTGCTCCCAGAAAACTGGCTGGATTATTATAGACATGTTACTACTTGGGATATGAATGAATTTTTTATAGCATGCAAATGATGGAGATATCGTTCACTGGTTTGCTTGTTATCTCTTGATATGGAACCACTTTTTCATGTGTTGCTAGAATTAATTTGTTGTTCTTTTCTATTGAATATTATCTCTGGTATAGTGAGCTGCCTTGTAATTACATTAGGCAATGTGCCACTTGAATCTATGCAGGTTGTAGATGACGATGATGATGATGACATGGATCTCTTTGGTGAAGAGACAGAGGAGGAGAAGAAAGCAGCTGAAGAGAGGGCAGCAGCAGCCAAGGCATCTACCAAGAAGAAAGAGAGTGAGTTTACCGAGTGGCAGCATTCTTTTCCCTTCCCAAGTTCTTTACCAATCTAAGCGTTTACTGCCTAAATTTACTGCCTAAATTTACTGCCAATGTATCATAATTTATCTTCCATTGGTTTCTGTAGCAGAAAACTCACTGTTCATTTATTGTCTCTCTCTTCTATAGGTGGGAAGTCATCTGTTCTTATGGACATCAAGCCTTGGGATGACGAGACAGACATGAAAAAGCTGGAAGAGTGTGTTCGCAAGGTTGAGAAGGAAGGACTTCTGTGGGGAGCATGTATATATCACTACTTTTTGCTTTTATTCCATTTTATTCCACCCACAACCCAATGCCGGGTGGTTTTTTTATGTTTTGGTGACTTACGGTCTTTACATTTGCTTTTTTCTCTCTGCAGCAAAATTGGTTCCAGTTGGCTATGGAATTAAGAAATTGCAGATCATGCTTACGATAGTTGATGATCTTGTCTCGGTTGATGACCTCATAGAGGATCAACTAACTGTTGAGCCTTGCAGTGAGTATGTGCAAAGCTGTGACATTGTTGCCTTCAACAAAATCTGAGCTCAGAATGGATCGAGTCCGTTTTTGGATTCTGTAATTTTGCGAGTTTTTGTTGATCAAATACTTTACCCTACCCTGCTATTCTTCTCGTGTTTTTCTTTTTGTGGTCTTAGACTGATTTTAGAATGAATGGAACTTAACTTTCATTCTATTACACCTTGGTTGAACTTGTCAAAGTTATTAATGGAGTGAAAGTATTTAATTTTGTTGTTCAACATTTAGAATTAATACTTGATGTGCTACTACTATCAGTGTGTGTGTGTGTGTGTGTGTGTATATATATATATTCAGTTGGATCTTATTACAATTAACACTTTTTAGAGCTCTGAAGCTTGAGACATTATTTAAGAGAAAGTAAAACTCTTTTCACTTGAATCCGAAGTGAAATTGGATGGGATTATGTGCTTTATAACTAAGCTGTATGTAATCTTTTAGATGCTCTTCTCCCCAATTCCGGCTTGAAGCATTTGGGAAGATGTAAATCACGATCATAATTCTCACACTGCTGCTTGAATCTTGGTCTCTTTTTTTTTTTTTTCAAATACTGCTTATTGAACTATTGAGTTAAGCCCATAAAATATAAAAATAATAAATATACCCTGGAGTAGTATTTTTTGGATTCTGCTATAAAAATACATGAATAAATAATAAAGAAAAGAAAAATGCTGTGTATTTCGTTTTAATTTTTTTAGTCAATTTGGTTGAGCCTAAATTAAGGTGTCTACTATGTAAAATCATACACCTCAATTTGAACCTCCCTGAGTTCATACATGAACTCTGACAACTCTATCGATGAATCCTCCAAAGCTATGTATAATGCAACTTGTTCCTTCATTCATTAAGTTAGTGCATACACATTAACACATGGGTTTGTACTCTGATCTCATGACTCGTCTCGAGTTAACCCCGTTTGGTTCTAGCATTAACATATTTCGTTCTCGAATCAAACGATCCACTAAGACTCGAGCAATTGTTAGAAAACTAACAATCATGCCATCTAATAATCTAAGATATACAGCAGTCTTGCGGGTCGATACTCCCGGAATCAGATGAAGATTCATCAGGTTCCGGAGAATCCCTGCTTGGAGAAGAAGACTTCAGTTCTTTACGGAAGCTGTCCAACTCCTCAGGAGTAAACCAGTCTTCCTTCATCTGTAAAGCAAATATCATAATTAGAAAGAAATTTCATCGCCATGATGATTGCTTCATATGATATACGAAGATAATGGTGTCTGCAGGGGGGGGGGGGGGGGGGGGGGGGGGCTCACATAGTAAGGGTAGCCGTCAGACAGACTAAACTCTTCAGGAGCGAGTTCCATGAAACGAGTGATGTAGTATAGAACATAGTACCCACACTCACTGTTGTCTCTCTGCTGTGGAACCTGGAATGATTCACTTGTTTCGTGTGAGAGAGCGTTCAAAATACAAGATTAGGGGAGTGAGTGGAAATTGTAATCCCACCTTGGGAATTCGAAAAGGGATCTTTCTGATCATCTGCTTCACCTCTGTTGTCTGTCCATCTTTGTAAATGTCGAAGACAAATCTGCAAAGCAAGAATGTGAACGAATTGGTTCTTGTTTTTCAGAACAAAAATGAAAATTTTCAGACGATCAGGGAATGTACTTTCTTATCCCGGATTCCATTTGTTTAGCATGAGCTACTTGCATCGAGTCCAGCAGCAACAAGCATGGAGTACTGGCTTTTGACTGAACACTTTTGCCCATGTTGCAAATGATCAAAAGACACCAATGGTCCCTAATAAAATTACAAGTCAGCCTATATTACAAAAGGTTTTCTTATTATTATGTAGGGTACTTTAAAGGGAATGGAGACTGAACTTAAGATATCGAGTCTGAAACCTACTCCAGTGCACTACAAGATCTTTGCCGAAACAAGTTCAGGTATGATTTATGTGTAAGCACAATATATATTTTAACGACAAAATCTAGTCATGCATACATTGCAGAAGAAGAACATACCACTGAACAATAGGAACAAAAACATATGTTTTGGAGAAGATGTCTGTCCTCTTGATCCAATCCAGCACCTTAGCTTTATAGGTTCTGTTTGTGTACAAATAATACCAAAGGGAGTCAAGGTGAATAAATAAACTTCTCCTCTCTTCGGGAATCTTCGTCCATATTTTCCTACATAATCCAATAAACCCGAAGCTTAGAACAAATAGAGACAGAAAGAAGCATACTTCTTTGAATTAAAAAAAAAAAAAAAAAAAAAAAAAAAAAAAAAAAAAAAAGGCATAAGACCACAAATCTTACTCCATATAGCAACTAAAGGTTTCTGAGTCTAACTTCCCTAGTTCACTGTTTTTGCTTCTTCTCCTGGATTGTCCACGACAACGAAGAGAATGCTGCGGGATAACGACAGATTCGCTTATATAAACAACCTTCTCACAAATTTGTTCTCGGTGTGGGCGTGCAGTTTTTTGTTTTGCACCATTTCCTACATCTGGACCTGATACAAATCAGAGTCAAAACATTTCCTAAGACACCAAGTGAATTATAATGACAAACAAACCACACACATGTTAAAAACACAATAAAAACCAAGATTGAAAAGAACCAAGACTGAAAAGATAATGACCAAACTGAAGACCAAAATTGAAACACAACGCAATAAAAGAAAACAAAAGCCCAACTGCATTAGAGAAACAATGATGAGGACAGACTTATTGGTGAAATGAAATGATATAACAGAAACCAAGAAATTCCATTCAACCATTTACAAGTAAATCTAGATTTGCAATAATCTTCATTTAATTGAATCTATAACTTCAGCCTCATCTTAATATTAGAATTTGCTCACCCTACATTAATGAAATATTTATCTTGAATCTCAATAAATTGCATTTGCAATCAGTAACCAATATGCTTAACTTTCCCAACATTCCAGTTATTGAATTATTCATACAATCCCTCTTCAGTAGTTCAATTCAATATAGGACTTGGGCAGATTAGCTAGAAATGAATATATTAGTGAAGTTAGAAAATAAAAATAAATAAATGAAAGGAAAAAAAAAAAAACTGATGGAGGAACAAGAAAACACCATGTATCACCACAAGAAGAAAATTGATTGAGAATAAACATTCTCTGTAATATAGAGCAAATTAGCAAAATATTATACCTTTCTTGTGCATATCTCTACATTTTGATGTTCGGTGACGAGGAACATTTTTTACCAATGAGTTTACACTTGTGCAGATTGCTTCTCCAGATAATTGCATGTTCTGCTGAATGTGTTGAGAAGACTCTGCTGCAAAGTAAGAAAACCCATAATTAGTGAATTGCCAAACTGAGTGACAAATCACACACACACACATCCTCAGAAATTACCCAAAATAATATTCAAGCATTTCATACTAAAAGTGAATATGTCGTAGCTCACATATGCTCTGGTTTCAGTTCTTGTAGTTTTTTGTGAAACTAATGACATAAAGGCATTGGAACATGAAATGTGTCAAAGCATCAGCCATACATAGCTCAAAATTATCCACAGCCAGAGAGAATCAGAACAAAAGAATGGAGATAAGGAGATGCGCCAAATCAATTCAGTACATATGCGCTTTCATGTGTCCATATGTACACACGTGACAGTTAAGTAATTTATGGGGCCATAAATATGCAGAACCTTTAACCTCAAAAACCAGTGTAATTTCTGGCAGATTGATATGGAATAAACAGAACAGAAATGACAAATGAACTACTCCTACAATAGAAAAATATGACCTAAAACAAACTTAATTGGATATGCTTAGATGTAACTTTCAAATTATCAAGCTCTACCTTGGATGGAACATGGTAAAGATTACATACACATTCACATACAGTTAGGTTAATATCATTCTGTAATTCAATTTTTTTTTTTTTAAAAAAAAACATAAGGGTCCTAACATATCCAAATCATAGTTAATTTTAAACATCCCTAAGCATTCTCAACTAGAACTGAACCCATAATCTCAGGACAGAAAAAGCAGCATTCCCCATCCCCAATACACCACACAACTTAGTATTAGTGTTATTATTTTCCTAAGGAAAGATACAAGCATAGTAAGCCTAAAAATCCATCAAAGCTCCCATATCAAATTTTACAGGAAAAATATAAAAGAAGTTTGCAGGCACACCAGCATTTGTTAGGTCCATTGCGTCACACTCGGCCTCAGCACACTTATCATCAAGACCTAGTTCACACCCAAAACGAAACAGCATAGTTAGACAAACAACCGAACAAGAAACTTGAGAACTTTCCACGAACACCTGACAAGCACAAAGAAGCATACACACACAAAAACACAAACACATGGTGTGCATTAATAACAACCGAAAAGATCACAAAAGGTGAAGAGAGTGGGGTAAAAAAGTACTTGGAAGCTGCACAAAAACTTGTATGTCTTGCTGAATCTCTTCTTCTGGCTGCATTTCGGACTCGGCCTGCTTCTGCTTCCGCTTCCTCTTTCTGAAATACTTTTTCTTCACCATCCCTACCAAAATTTTCTTACAATGAAACAAAGAAAAAGGGGATTCTTAGGCTACAGAGCGCAAAATCGTGCAGAGAAAATTGCTACAAAATGTTGGTGATGTACTCAAATCATTGATTCATTGATGAAGAAGAGAAGAGCTCATGGGTTACTGGCTAGTCTGCCACTGCCACCCTAAGCAACACGCCAACACCATCCTCAAGTATCAATACTCAGTTTGGCTTTATTGAGTTTTTTCTTCCACTTTTGATTTTTCATTTTTAAATAATCAAATTTATACTTTTATTAAATTCGCTGCATTTATTTTTCTTTTGAACAACTCGTTGCATTTATTTAAGGACATTAGTAAAACGGTTTTTTTTTTTTAAATAAAAAACTGAAAGTAAGAATCAATTTTCTAGGTTTAAAATATTATTAGGGACCAAAGTATAATAAAGAGCTAATTCTATTTTTGGTCTCATTTTTAGTCCTTTTTTTTTTTTTTCAGAACATCATCGTTTGGTTCTAGTATTATTGTGACATGATTATTTATTGTCTTTCATATACAAAATTGTTAAAATGTCGTTTAATACAATGACATTTCGATCTTTTTTATACAAGTGGATTGACCCATTATATTTTTATTTTTAATTTTTTGAAAAAAAAATTATAATTGAATACCTAAATGCTTGTGTATTTTACAAAATTTAAGCGGTTTGTTGATAAAAGACAAAAAATAACACTACAATAATATTAGGATAAAATGATGATGTTCTGAAAAATAACTAAAAATTTATTGTCACTCATAAATCTAAGACAAAAAATTGAATTAACTCTTCAGTTATATTTTGTTGTGTCATTTTATTTTATTTTTATACTACTAAAAATGATATTTTATCTACATCATTTTGGTTAAACTTGCACATTGCTCTTCGTAATGTAATTTGCCTCTCATGTTTAATTTATAAGTTGTTACACCATTGTTAAATATATGTGAAATGTAGCCCCTCAAATGAGAAGTCTCGGGTTCGAACTCCGTGGGAACATTGACTCTTTGTGCTTCAGTAGGTTGAGAAAGTATGTATAAATATATATAGTATATTGTAATAGAACCAATAGTATTCAAAATAATAATAATAATAAAAATATATCATAATAAATGCGCCCTAAAAGATTTGAGTGAAACATAATCTTATACCTGAAAACTATAAATTCAATTATTATCATAATAAATGCCCAAAAAAAGAGATTGAGTGAATCATACTCTCCCTGAAAATCATAAATTCAATTCTAACACTATCTAGCGATGAGTGATTTGAACCGCTAATGTAAAATTTGTGAAACAACTTGTGTAACTTGTGAGACAAATGATGTGTGATTTGAACCCTCACGTGAAATTCGTGAAACAACTTGTGTAATTTGTGAGACAAATGATGTGTAATTTGTGAGACCATTTGATATGGGATTTGTGAACTCTAACACCGCTCATGTATAATTTATGAGCTATACCACAAGAACAGTATTTACTGCCATCACCCAAAAAGTAATATGGACATACAGTAATAAGTTACCCAAAATTCAACTATGCTCCATGTGTAAAAAAAAAAAAAAAAAAAGATAATAGAAGAAAGAAAAGCAAGGATAAGATACTCAGATTAGGTAGAACCAAGTCCTTAAAATAAACCACACTCCGACAGCAAGTTAAGTGGAGTCACATACTCCCCCTCCCCATCCATACAACAAATAATGTCTTCCAAAACATTTGCATGGGAGGGGAGGGACAACCATAAAAAGTTAAAGAGCAGTACAGCCTAAAACAGTCTTAAACTTGGTCTGATCTGGTCTGGTCAACCGCATAATAACCCATACTTGAAACTATATTTACAATCCATTCACTGTAACAAGCAGGCACGCAGCCTTTTTAACAGAAGAACATTGAACTGGACACTTTCTCCTCCAGCTTAGGCAACTGAGGAACAGGAGCTGGACCACCATTCTTCCCACCACCACCACCGGGGTTTGAAGATGTGTCAGATGAGCCCTCAAATTTCATCCATTGTCCCAACTGGGTCGCAGCCAAATGAGCATAGCATATTGGGGCAACTGCACGGTTAACAACCCCAATTAGGAACAATACAATAGAGATGAGCAGAGCAATCTGTTTAATCGTAAGAAATCAAATCAAGAGAATTACCAACTGATATGGCAGTGGTGCTTCGTTGGTACCTGCAACAAGAAGACAATAATTTAGCCCGTGTTCAACAAACTGTTACTTCTCAGTTAATTATAATTATTAACCATTCGGGAAAACCACTTACACATAGGATAAGTTGTGCACAAGTTCTTGTAGCTCATCTGCAGAAAACCCAACCTCATCCAGAAGAACATGGTAATGAGTTGGTCTTGTGGTCCCCTGTAAATGTAGATAATTATTTAGACGGAAAAAGGAGAACATAAAATGTTACACAGAAAAATGGTCAACAATCATTAATCACTTGACTCTGAGAATTATAGAGAGATATAGACCTATCTTCAAAGGTAAATGAGAGGGCAAAATTTTAGGACATCCATTTAGAATGAAAAGGTTATTAAGTGAAAAAGGAAGACAACATACAATCATTCCTGCATGGGCACACAAGTAGAAGTCATTGTTCCTAGGATGGCAAACTTTATTGTCTATGATTGTCCCTGTAAAAATAAATTAATAACAATAAAACTTGTAAGGTACTTCACCTTGAAACAGTAAGCAGGAATTTATGTATTCTCAAATGTGATTCTGTGTATTACCTGGTGGAACATTATCAGGAGACGAAGACTGAAAGAACTTAGTATGATGATTCTTCTGAGCAATAATAACCACAAACTTGGGTGACCATTTCTCGTCAAGAAATTTGCAAGCCTGCATTAAAAGGTGGAAAGTGAAGTTCAAGAATGGATTTAAATTTTAGATTTTAGATCACGGCCTACTACAAATTGTTACCTCAATGATCTGATCAAGCTCAATATTCAGTACTTGATTGAATTGGGATTCACTGACACCATCCCTGCAAGTCATGGAAAGAAATCAATAAAACAAAATATTGAGCAAGCCAAAAAATAAGTCACAACTATACAGACAAACAGCAAAGAAAAGGCACATGAACAGAGGTTAAAAATCAACCAACTTCTGCAGAAATGATTGATTTAATGACCCTTTATAATAACAGGCTACCAATAATATCCCAAATTTGCATTAATAATCACATGAAAGATTTTATAATTACTGAATCAATTGTCAATTCACCTCATTGAACAGACTCCTCACATTTCTTTCCTACCCTGTAAGTTCATGCTATGTCCAATTAAAATAACCAAATTTACCTTTCCACAGCAAGGTTTTTACCTTCAGGTACAATGGGAATAGATCATGGAGACATGGACCAATACAACTAACAAAATTAATTTTTTAAAAATTGACAACAAAATGGTGGTGCAAAAGATACCTGAAGATTATGATTTGATCAGGCTTCCTTTTTCCAGAACTAACATAAAAGTCCAGCAATAGCTCCCTGGAAAGCAAAATGATTGACATAAATATTATAAATTGGAATCTAGCCATGAGATATAATCTATACCAACAACTTGTAGCTTCAAATTCATTTCCCATCAGTTCTACTTTTAGATGAAACTACACCCAAAAAAAAGGAAAAGAAAATTCACCTCATAATTCCTTCATCCTCAGTGTCAGAGACACGTTTAAACAAGTTATCAATCATTTCAACCTTTGCAGACTGAGTACGCACTGATGCTCTATAACGAGAAATCGAGGGCCACTGCCTTGAGCTAACAACCTGTAAAAAGTTTATAATGAACACGAATTGTGCTAATAATCAGAACCTGACACAATGCGAAACGGTACACAGCTAAAAAGAAACAACAGATTACTTGGGACTTGCAGACATACCGCTGCAATTGAGGGGACATCAGTCTGACCAGGAGAGCCATGTGACACATCCATTCCAAGAATAATTGTAGGAGCTTTCGACACCATAGGAAGTGAAGGAGAATGCTCCACAGTTAACATTGAATTTAATCCACCAAGCTGATAAGAATAAAAAATTTACAAGGGAAGAAACATGAGACTAAAAATATGAAGCATTTAAGGTGGCAAGGAATATGCAGACTCATAGCAGCAAACACGAACATATAACTCTCACCTTGGCATTAATCTTGAGAAGACAATTAGTTATGTATTGATCATTTACTCTGGTAGGTGCCATGCATTGAGTCACTATACCATATTCAGCAAGATTCTTTCGTTTCCAAGGCCCTTTCAGTTTTAAATAGGTCAACAGTTACATGTTAATATGCTTCTGAAGGATAGTTCATTCAGAACATTAATAAAGGGGAAAAGATAAATTAGGCAAACCATATATGTCACAATTCTTTCTTTCAGGAAGGAGACAAAGGAGAAACTTTGGTGCCCCTGGAAGCTTGGATTGGACCTCTTCAAACATTTTTTCTACTCTGACAAGAGGTGGAGCCCTTCTGAATTGTGGACTTTCCTCAAACACATCAAAAGGGGCTTCCACAGTCTTCAAAACAAAAATTACAGTTAGTAGAAAAATGAATAGCCAATCATTTCTAGAAATTTGGTATACTTCATTACTTATGATGCAATATAGAACATACAATTCCTTTCATTTCTCCACACTTAATCAAATCTCTGACAAGACCGCGTATGTCACATCGTGCAGAGAAATTAACAACAGCCCAACGTTCAATCTTAGAGGGATCAACAAGTCTCTGTCCATCCACACACCCAAAAAAGGTCAGGAAGAAAGCCAAGTGAGGTGTCAATTTGTGGAGAAAGCACATCACATTCAAATAACAAGAAATAAAAATAATAATTAGTATTTAACATCAATTTGCCAAACCTTGTTATTGAAGTTCCATCTCCCATTTCTAGGGAAGAAATCCTCTCCATTTCCAACTTTCAACTGTTTAAAACCAACATCCATGTTAGGTTCCGCTGAGTCATGTACGATAGTAGAATACAACTAGAAATTTAAAAAAGAGACTCGGGTCTCTAGTGGTTAAGGGAACTTTATATATCAAGTTTACAGTATTCCTCACCTTAGGGGCAGGAAGAATGCGCCCCTCAACCTGAGTGAAGTTACTGCTGATAGATATGCCACATGAACGGAGTAGTGGCTCAGCATCATAGTTATTGATTTTCAGTGCCTGTTAGAAACAACTGTCAACTAAGAGCATGAAT